TTATCCAAATTCTCTTAAACATCAGCAAAGGACCAACACCACTATGGTTTAGCAAAATCCAATCCATTCTGACAAATAAGTACAACGTTCTAAAAAACAAATGGCAAAACTGGAACTGGAAAAAGCAAGACAAGAGATTTTTCTCTACCAGTTTAAACAAAAACCGATGCTGATGAAGTTGGAAGATCACAAGTCCAGAGGAACCAAACATACAAATCATCTGGTATAGAAGTAAAGGAAACATAGACAATCAAGCTCTCCAAGCAGAATTTTACAACATAAGAATAGGATCCAGACCAGATACAGTCAAACTACAAAGAAGCAAAGGCACTATTCAACCCCAGACCAATGAGGAAACAAGAAGTTTATCAATCAGAACAAGTATCCACAGAGGCAACAAAAGATCAAAGATCAGATCACTATCATGTGACATTATTAATCAATATCCAACCTTTAGAAAAGCAGATGAACCAGAAATTCCGATTAGCATATACGTTTTGGAAAATCTCGCCAAAAAAAAATTGTAACACTTCAAAAAAAAGGAGATTATCAACAATTGCATTATGGCAGTTGAAATAGGAGACTGGGGAGTACAAATAATCAAAGAACACATTCAATCTCCAGACTATATACAATCCCTGATAAAAGAATATAGAATCGATAACGAAAGTAACTTTTGACAGCCCTATTGTTTTTACACAAATAGATCATATGGCAAAATGAGAGACCAATCACTAAAAATGGAAGCTGCCTGGCTACAAGTTTAAGGACCAAACCTAGGAAGATTCTTTCAAGCAGGAGTAGACAACTGGCTATCAGCATTTCAGGCAAAACTCACTGCAATCATTCTAGCACTTTTGGTCATACCTCAGAAAAGTCAAATAGAAATCAGAACAGATTGTACAACCTGTATCAACACTCTGCAAAAGCTTCTCAACCCCCACATCAGAGATATAGGAAAAAGAAACAGAAAGCAAAAGAACTGGCAACTGTGGATAAGATGCATAGACTTAATACACAAGAAATAAATCAAGATTCAAATGACCAAAGTAAAAGCCCGTGACAAGGATGAGGCTAATAAAAAGGTGGATCTTCTCGCTAAAGCAGTAAAAGAAGAACCTGAGATTTTCTGGAACAGCTGATATCAACAAGAAGCCTTAACAATACTATGCAGAAACAAGATTCCTATTGATATAGCAGTAAGAGAATTTGTCAAAGAAATATACAAGAGAAGCATTCTAACAAAATAAGCAAATCAAAATCGAATACAAAAAAGATGGGTCAAAGAAATAGACAATCAAAAAAACTTCAACTGAAAAAGCCTCTGGGAAGTAAACAAAGTAGGAGGATCTTTAACAATATCTTTAAAACAAGTTTGAGAAAAAGCCTTCTGGATAAAATTAATGTATAATGAACTACTGATCCTGAACAATATAACCAAAAGATTCCTCACAAAATATGCAAACCTGACCAAGTGCCTATACTGTCAACAAGAAGTAGAATCCCTGGAATATCTACTCTCATGTAACAGTATTGTAGAAATATGTAAAGAAATATGGAACAAAAGCCAGGATCAGTTACTCAATAAATGACTGGAAAATGCTCAGGCAGAAGAAATACAAGATAGGCAAACTACAATACAAGAGCTTTTACAAAGATGGCACAGACATAAATTTTTCACAGGTATTGAAATAATAAACTTGTACTTAGGATTTTTCTCAAAAAAAAACATATTAAAATAGGTACAAGCAATAGTCAAAGTCAAGATCAAAACTAATGAAGCAAGGTAGTTATTAAAGAAGTTTTCAAAAAACATCTGCAAGCAAGTTAGGAAGAAACTATGGAATGACAGATGTGCCAGATTACAGAACTCAGGAAGAAAACCCAAAATATTCAGATACAGTAAAAAAGATACACATGGGACAAGGAAAAAAAAGAGGAAATCAAGAGGTCCCAACTAGAAGGAAACAAGCCTAAGAGAGCCACAAGAAGATGACATAAAAGACTCTTCCACACAAATTCAAGACAAGATCTCAATTTGGAAATGGATTAAAGAGAGGAAAAAATGATTAGAAATATAAAAAGTAATCTAGATTTTAAAAAGATGAACTGTAGTGATGAACTGCAGGCAATGATCTTTGGAATTGAACTCCATAAGTGAGTAAATGACAAAGAGAGCAACTTTGTTCATCTCCAAAGTCACACCTAGAGACATTAGTCAAAGACAGGTGTCCAAGGCAGTAGAATAGTTTATGCAATACAATATATTATACATTATTTGTTTTCTGTAAAGATTTAATAAACAGTATACACTTGTTTGACTATGGGAAAAAAATAATTAAAAGTTTATAATTAAATTTGACAAAATCTGACTTTATTGAAAATTTTTAAAATTTTTTTGAAATCTTTTATAAATATTTAAAAATTTCAAAATACTTATAATATTATTAAATTTTATTAATTAATTATATAAGTATATAAAAAAAAAAAACTCTTTCATGTACACAACTTTTTTCTTAAAATTTTCTTTTTATGGTAATTTTTCTTTACAATTAGAAAACCAAATATTTTTTTCATTTTTCAATACCTTAAAGTCCTTTACACCTTCTCTTTCTTCATTACAAGAGCCTCAAGGAAATTAAAAAAGTATACTGGTGCATTGGGATGAAATCTTTAGTTAGAAGAAAGCAAGTTTGGAGACTTTGCTTTTTCTTTGGATTGCATAAGAAAAAGCTTATAACAGTTATTTCTTTACAAACCTTTCTTGGGGTTCTTCTCATTTTTTTAATATATAAACCTTTCTAAATAATTATATTTTCTGTTTGGAGAATTGCTTGATAATTCAAAAAATTAAACTTTACATCAAAATTGTTTATATCGTTGACTTAAAAAAAATATATATATTTAATATATATTTCTTATTATCATTTAACACTTTTTACTGTGTCACCAAAAACCAAAAATCTTCAATCAATAAATTTTTTATCAAAAAACCATAATTAGTTTACTTCTGTCAACTGATCAACATTCCAAACTTAACTAATCAAATACTATCAAATTTCAAAATCATTCTGTACTACTGAAATATCATATATTGATTAATGTAAATAAATTCTATTTCAGCAGTATTAATCAAAACAAGATTACATTATAAAAAAATAAACCAATCAACACATCAACAAAAATATCAACAACTATAACAACAATATATAATCTAAGTAATGTATTAACAATACTATTATCTATTCTGGCTATTTTTGAAAGTAGTATCCTACTTTAGTTACCAGTATTGTGCACCTAATCCAAGGTATCCCTTGTATGATAGTTAGTCTTTTTTTTATTTTTCTTTCAATTATCATCAAATACTCAAATACAAACAACTATACTATCTCCACAACAACAATATAAACACAACCAATTATTTATTAAGAAGATATATTATTAACACAACAATAGCCTAGCCATTTTTGAAAGTGTAACTATTGTACTTCAGTTAAATAGAACTACTAGTATGGTATGCTTAATGATTTTATCTAAAGCATCTATAGCTTTACAATTAGTTTTGTTGCATATATTTTTTTGTTTAGTATTTTCTTTTTTTCTTCAATTTTCTATTTCTTATAGTCTTATATATAAACCTGAATAGGTATTCATATCTGCTCGGCATTATTTAGGATATAAATTGGTTTTAATATTTATTTTTCATGTCGCTTAGATAGTTTCTATAGGCAAGTTAGCATTAGACTTACTGATCAATTGGTCATATGAGAAATGTTATCACTTTTTATATATAAAATAATTTAAAATTTTTATAATAATAAAAAGATAATATTTACCTATTTAAAAAAAAAATTATATAAGCATATAAATATTTTTAAAGCAATAATATTTGTAAAATATATTATTTTGATTTGAAGCTTTTCTTATATCAAATTAAATATATTCAAGAATTTTTAAAACCTTTATATTATATTTTAGTTAATAAAATGAATTAAAGACTTTTAAAAATTTTCATATATTCTAATTAAAAATTTTTTTATATAAAATTTAATTGATTACATAACTTATTTTAAAAGAATACAGAGATTAATAAAAGTTATAGTTTTTATTATCAATAATATTTATAAAAAATATATAAGGAGTTTAAATTATTAAAACTTTTTTTAATCATATTTATTTTATTAAAAAATTTTTTTTATAATAATTTAAGCAAGAAAAAAATTTTATATTCTTTATTATAAGTAAATCTTAGCTCAAAAACTCAAAAACTTTTAAAATAACTGATGCAGTAGAATGGAATTTTTGATCAAAGTCTACTCAAATTTGAAAATCTTGTTTATTCTTCAGTTTCATAAGGAAAAACTTATAAAAAGTTGCTTCTTATTTATTTTTTTGAAATAATTAAAATTTTTTTCTAAAAATTTTATAATATTAGTTTTAATTATACAATATATTATCTATTGATAATATTTATTTTTTATTTATTTAATAAAATTAAAAGTTTAATTATAAGCAAAATTTTTAATTTTTAAAATATTTTTTTTAATAAAAGTTGGTCTTAAACAAACTTAAAAATTTTTTAAATTAAAGTTTATATAATTTGTAAATAGTTTTGTAGAATTATTTATAAAAAAAAACATTAATTATTATAGTTTTAATGACTTAATTATAAAATTTTAACTTAAGAAAGAGAGGGTATTGTAGTGAGATTAAGAGTTGCTATTAATAAAATTTTTTTAAAAAAAACTTATTTGCTTTCAAAATTAGTTAAAATAATATATATACTATTTACTTTATAATAACCAAAAAAATTTTATATTTTATTCAACAAATTTATTTAAAAAAACCTGTATTTTGACTATTTTAACTTGGAGGGTAATGTGGCAAATGATGCAGATCATCATGTACATGTACATAAGTATAAAATTTGTGAAACTTTAACTCATATTACCATTATTTTTCTTACTAAGCATTTTTGTACAAATTTGTTCTTCTTTTTTTTACATACTTTCAACTTTCTTTTGTGCCTTTTCCTTTTCACAATTTGCTCTCTTTTGGAGAGTTTCTTTTTTTTTTTGTTTTATAGCTTCGGCCTTATTTTTCGCTAATTCGTCTATTAATTTTAGTTCATGTAGTGAATCGTCATTAGTGAGAAGTCGGTTGAATGGTAATGTTTTCCTTCTTTTTTGTAGCTGGGATGGTTCAGAATTATTAGTTTGTCGAGGTGCAGAATATTTAAGTGCCAGTCTTAATGAGCAAGTTCCAGGATTTTTTAATGCTTCTAGTTCCTCTTGTATTAAATCATAACCTTTTTTCTCATTTTTTAGTATTTCGTTTTCTTTTCTTAAAGATTCATTTTCTATCATTAATCGATCATTTTCCTCAATAATAGTGGCTCGTGTAAAATACTTACAGATTGGTTGAGAAGATGATGTGGTGCTGGACGAAGATGATATCGTATCAGTAGGAAGCATTTGTTAAGGTAAGGTTTTAAATCGTTCTGTTGGTAGAGAAGGTCCAAGTTTATCAGAATCAATTGCATTAGGATTTAAAGGCCAAATTCCTGTAACTCTGAAAGTATTGATAATTGTTATAAAAGTATAAGTCGCAAGAAACGCCGGTCTGAGTATTGTGGGAGTGGATGATCTTGGCGAGGCATTTGATTTGACCGAGGTAAGTAATTTCTCTTTATTAATTTTCTTTTGTCACCACTATCTGCTTTCTTTATTTTAAAGAATAAATGCTAACATTTTATACTTTTTTACAAGGAAAGTTTAAGAACAATTTAGAAACATAACGAAAGGTAAGAGAATTTCTACTACTTTCTGGCGCTATTATCTAATCTAACACCAATTACATCATTATTATTTCGTTACAAGCGCCGGTTTCAGATCTATTTTTACCTTCCTTTTCTTTTCGCGATCCCGGGTCAATCGTCAGTCACGTGACCTTAATCACGTTACTATTGTTTTTATTCTTCCTCTCACAATACATAAGAAGATGTGCGCTTGGTCCTCTGGGTATGCTTCACATCATGGACAGAGGTTACTTTTGTATAGACTTGAATATCTTTTGTGGAGTTTGATTCTTGTGGATAGCTGATTTGCGATGAGTTTGGTTCTGAACACTGATAGACTTCTGAATTTTAATTGGTTACTTTCTCTAAGTCTTTTATTGGCACTGTGAATAAGCTCTAAGGCAGGTCTCGAGACAGTCTTAAAGGTTGCTGACTGACTAAGGAGAACGTCAAAAAAATTGGTGTAATAGTTAACAAATTTTATCCAATGTGTAATGCTGGTGGCATGTGTATAATTAATTAGGGGTGAGGTATCGTATGTTTCTGGGAATATTTGTGGGATTGGGAGACTGTTAATAGGATATGGAGGTGGGAGACTTTTTTGCTCTTTTTTTGTAATCTATTCGATTGTTATGTTTTTTGTTATTCTGCTGGAAGTTTATTAATCTGATATATCTGCTATATGGGGTTTTAACTTAATGATTGGTGTACTCTGATATTTTTAAGTTCGGTTGGGTCTGTAATTTGCACCTGATTATTGAATTGGTAGGAGTCTCTTGTATTGTCTTTAGTAAGACGGGCCAGAATCCTGTCCACAGATTGGTATTTGGTTTATAAAGTATATTAGAATTGGCTTTTTGAATAATAATTTTTTCTTTAAGAAAAAAGATGTTGGTTGTTATGGATGGTGATATGGTTGTAGGAGATTTGGTTATTATAATTTGTGATAGGAGTGGAGAGGAGAAAGAATAGTTCTTCAATATTGTTTAGTAAAAATGGGTAATTATTACGTGTTGTTATCCATGTTGACTTGGTGTTGATGAAGTCTTTTTCTATAAGACAAGGTTGTGTGTTGCAGGAACACTGCTGAATCTTTTTGTTAGGTAGGACTTGATAGTATTATCCTTTGACTATTTGCTGTTGGATTGCGTTTCTTCTGGTTTTGATTAGATCAACTATTCCATTGTTGATGCACACCCAAAATTGAGGTTTTGGGTTGGATATTGGAAGTGAATTCCCAACGATTGTCTAATTTGTTAGTAGTATGTTATTGAACCAGTTTAAAGTGGGGCCCGTGGATATGTGTCCTCTATGGGTATGGAGCTCATCCCATGAAAGTCTATTGTTAGTGTTATACGCGTAAATATCTTTAATCGTTTTGATGTTTGTATAGAAAAGAGAAAGTGCGATGGATTTGTCAATACTAGTTGTGAGCCTGATGGAAAGATTGTAGTCTGCAATTTCGAATGGACAAGGGTATGGGCAAATATTAATTTGATATTTTTTAACTATTTGTGCAGTAAGTGTTAGCCAGCATTCTCTGAAGTAGTATGGATTGCAAATTGGGCACGTCCATATGGCATATGCTGCCTGGAGAGACTTGATTTCCTCGATAAGAAAGGTGTGAGTTTTTTTGTTGGTGAGTCTTGAAACTAGGAGCTTAACTGCTGTTATGTAAACTCTATCTTGTAACTTTATTATGTTTAAGCCTGCTTGTGCATGTAAAATTTTGTTCAAGATAGTTTTTTCAACTCCCATTTTGCTTTTGATGGCTGTGTTAAACTTTGCTTGCATTTTTTTGATGTCAGTATTATTAGGTACTGTTACTTGAATCGCATAGTCTATTTGGGCTGGTATTATCCAGTGGGAGGCTTGTCTTGTGATTAGACCATTCCATCCTTTTTGGTTTGCAATTGTTTTGGTGAAGTTTAAGACTTTTTCCTTGAGAAAGTTTTTTGTTACAAGGGAGGAGGATTTTCCGGAAAGGTAAATATAAAGGTATCTGATTGAGCCAGTGTATGGCATAGGGTGCACTGATATGTCTTCAACAAGGAGGGATTGTTTTCTTAGGTCATTTTTTGGCTTGAGATTTGTGATAAGTTCTGTTTTGCTTTTGTTACATTTGATTAGGTTTAGAGATAAGAATGAGCAAAAGGTGTCAGTCGCATTTTGTAGAACTCTCATGTTGTTACTAATAATGGCAATGTCGTCCATATAAGCTAGTATTGTTGATTTGCCAGTACTGTTTTGAATTACTGCACTGACTATTGGGTCGTAAAAGATTGCCCAGAGTAATGGTGCTAATGTTTCACCTTGGTCAATTTTCTTGTTGATTTCAAGAGGATCTGTGAGTTTGTAATATGTAATTATTCTGAGTTCTCTTCTTCTGAGCAGATTGAGAATTAATTGGCTGGTTTGGTTTGGAATTTTTATTTGATTCATTGCGAGCTCCAGGCTAGAGAGGTTTACTAAGTTGAATGCTTTTGAGATGTTGAATGATGCCATCCATAACTCTTTGTTGAGGTTATTTGCTTTTTCAATTTCTGACTGGGCAATTGAGATTGGTTCCATTGTGCTTTGATTTTTGAGGCCAGCAAAGTTATATCCTAACAGGATATTATGTCTTGAAATAATTGTTGAGAGTCTATCATTCAATATCTTGATGAATATTTTCCTGCTGATTTCTATGAGAAATATAGGGCGTGTATCGGCTAGTTCATGTAACCAAATGATTTTTTTCGATAGTAGAGTAACTGCTGATTGTTTCCAAAATTTGGAGATTTCTTTTTTGGATATTGCTTTGTTGAAGAGTTTCTTGAGACAGTCTCTAGCAGTTGGATCAAGGTTAGTCCAGGCCTCGTATGGAATATGTGTTAAGCCAGGAGCTTTCTGTTTTGGAAGGTTAAAAAGGACTTGCTCGATTTCGTCTGTTGAGATCTCATTATGCACTTTTTCAAAAAGATCATCTGGGAGGTTTTCTTTTGGTGAATATTCTTGTTGCCAACTCTCGTTGAGAACGAATTGGTTAGGAGCTAAAATACTTTTAAAGTGGTTGATAATTATTTCTATAAGTTGGTCTGGATTATCTTGTAGTTGGTCTCCATTTGATAGAATTGAAAGATTCAAGGTGGGCTTGAGGTTTCCTAGAGCTTTTTTCAGTGTGTTCTTGGGTTTGGACCAAAACCTAACGTAGTTATCTTGAATGTTTCTCTGTATTTCATTAAGGATGATTTCATTAGCTTTAACCATTTTTTCTCTCAAGATAATTATCTTAAAGGTCTTTCTAAGGAATTTGAGTATTGGTGGATCATTAGAAAGTGCTCTATGTACGTTCTCTGCAATGGGATAGAGTTTGTTAGGCTTTTTGTTTCTTATTATCGAGTTGGTTGCTTTCTTGATAGATTTAATTGCGATGTCATAACATCTCAGAAGATTCAACTTTTTTGTTGGGACTAATTGGTCTCTTTTTGGTATGTTGTTATCCATGGCAGTCTTGATTGTTGTGTTTAGTGTTTCCCATGATGGATTGGGTACTGCTGTACAATGTAGTTCTATCTCTTCTTGCATTGCATTGAGTTGTTCTTTAGTGGCCTTCTGGAATTGGTAGGTTTTAGTTGAGTAAAATATTCTGCTAGGTTTGTATTCGAACCAGTCTAGTATCGTGTCGACTTGTTTATGGTCAGTTGGTATGGCGTGTTGTTCCGAGACTTTGTAGCAAAGGATTTTGCTGGCAAGATTTTTGGTAACCCAGATCTGGTCAATCCTTGAGGCACTGGTGGACGTGGTATGTGTATACAGATGTTCCTTGCTTGTGGCCTTTGCAATGTCTACAAAGTTGAATAGATATTTACAGATATTTCTTTTGAACGAGAGAGAGTGTGTGTTGATTGAGGGGGCTGCTTTGGGATATAAGTTAAAGTCTCCAGCTATTATAATGTGTTTTTTGTGATGCTGTTAAATAAATTTCCTAATAGAGGACACTGCTGTTCTCCTCATGCTCCTCTCATATGATAGATAGCAAGAAATTATTATAATGTCCACTTTTGGTTTGAATTTGAGGTGTGCGGTGCACTAGAATTCATTTATTGAAAAGGTTTCGAATATATGTGTAACTATAGCTTTAGTAAGAATAATACAGGAACTATTCGTTGTTGTGTTACTTGGTTGACTTGAGATGATTACGTTATTATTCGAAGTTTTTGGTAGAGGATTTGATTGTGAGGCTTTTGTTTCTGTTGCGCACAGGATACTTCTTTCATTTTTTATTGCTTTGGTGAGTTCATTGAGCTTTGCTTTTTGTGTAAGTCCTCTTATGTTGAGGGTTGCAATGTTGATAAGATTCTTTAGTGAGGTGTGGGGTTTATTAAAAGAAAGTTGTGAGTTAGATGGGTTTGTACTCATCATTAAATAAGTTTGGGGAGAAGAGTCATCACTGGTTTGAGTAACTCTGGTTCAGTTATGAATTCGGGGGGAAGTCTGGTAAAGTGAAAAATTTTATTCAGGGATTTGATGTTGTTGTTTAGATGAATGTTGTCTACCAGGGGTAGTGTGATATTGGTATTGGTTTTAGCAAGATATTTGATGGCCTTAGCAAGGTTTGGTAGGTTTGGTAATAAAGGAGTAATCTACTTCCTTGGGATTTCTCCCATGTATTTGTTTCTGATTTTTGCGATAGTT